ATCAAACAAAACAAACAGGACCCTACTTGCAGACGAGCCCCAATTGGCATGACACGTGTCCAACACCGAGATTTAAACACCATCCAACTTCAACTCTACAGTTCCTCTCCTATTTAATCCCCTCCAATTCCTCCAATTTTTCCTCACCAATCACCAAACACAGCTCCCCAATTTTCCCCCCGTTAAATTATCTCCCACAACTTTTCCCCTCTAAAAATGAATTTCTTATCAAGCATGGTCAAAGGCAGCGACCAGCCCAAGCCCACTTCCGATGAGCCCAACAACTCGGCCCACAAGCCCGCCTCCAACTCAGACCTCTTCACCAGCGCCAAGGTTGTCGCGGACGCGGCCCAAGCCCAATTCCGAAACGAGCCGGAGAAACTCGACAAGAACAAAGTCGCCGGCGCCGCCGCGGACCTCCTCGAGGCCGGCTCCGAGTACGGCAAGCTGGACGGGACCCAGGGCGTCGGGAAGTACGTCGACCAGGCCGAGAACTACCTTCGCCAGTACAGCGCCCCGAAACCCTCCGCCGACGAGCCTCCCGCCGGCGAGAAGAAGCCCGCCGCGGAAGATCCCGCTCCCGCCGTCACCGCCGATGAGAAAGAGGCTCCCGCCATCGCCGCCGATGAGAAATCGGCTCCCGCCATAGCCGCCGATGAGAAAGAGGTTCCCGCCGCCGCCGATGAGAAATCGGCTCCGGCCATCGGCGCCGGTGAGAAAGAGGCGGAGGAGAGCACTGAGAGCGAGAAGCCGTCCGGCGGCGGCGCTGGGGAGTATTTGAAGATGGCAGAGGGTCTCCTGAACAAGCCCTCGGCCGGCGGTGATGGAGACGAGAAGCCGGAAAGCGGATATGGTGATGTAATGAAGATGGCCGGCGGTTTCTTGAACAAATAAAAAACTGTGAAACGCGCTTTTACTCTCTCTCACACTCTCTGTGTACTGTGTATTGTGGTATGTCAGCTTTTCCGAGTGTTGTCCTGTTTGCTTTTTTCTCTTTTTTTTGTTATCGTGCATTATCTATGAATAATGCATCTTTCACTTATGTAAAAATTTCGTAAAAGAATATGGTGTGACGTAATACTTGTGTAAAAGTTGAGAGTACGGTGTGACGATGTAACGGTGTTATATGTGAATGTTATATTTTTATTTATTATATTTGATCAAGAAAATATTTTCAGAGCCTCGGGTTTGTAGTCATTTTTTGATAAAACGGGGGCTAGAAAATGAAGTGAAAAAAAGGGAGAAAATGATGAAAATGGGAAAAAATTGATAAAATGGTGTCTAAGGGCAATTATATATTTTCTCATGCCTAAATGACTATATTTTATTTTTTTAAAAAAAATGGCTAGATTTCATTTTTTGTTTTGTTGGTTGTTATAAAGCACCATTACCACAAATCTTTATATATGTGAAAGAATTTGAGCTTTTTCTAAAATTTTTATTGGATGGTCAAACAATAATTTTTTCATGGGCCCAGTTTATTGGGTGTCCTTGACAGCTTACCAGATCCAACTTCTTTTACCCTTTATTCACTTGTTCTGTTGTGGGGTTATATAATTCATTTTGTATGTTATGGATGATTGTGTTTGCTAAATGTCAAGCAGAAACCAAGATATAAGCTTTCAACCTATTCCTTGTCATACAAACTTAACAACTTCATTCCCCTGAGTTAGTCATAATGTAGTGTAAACAAACATATATAGTAACAATAATAAAAATCACAAACATCATTACATTTTTTTTTTTTTTTTTNATTTTTTTTTTTTTTTTTAACTTTTTGCAGTATAATGAGATCAGAGTCTTGCTGGAATTCTCAAAAGCAGAAGCAAGTTGCTGGGATTTTTCCTGTCAATCTGATTTTATTTGCTTTCTCTTTTGCCTTGAACTCCTCTTTTTTCCTATTCTCATCTGCTTGCTCTCGAGCTCCTCGTGCAATTGCTTCGATTCTTGTGATTTTGTCTCGGTTGCTCTGTATGGCTTTTGCTCTTTTTTTGTCCAATTCAGCCTTTCGAAAAGTTGAATAGAAATGAGAAGAAGAAAAGGTTCAATTGCTCTGTATTCTTATATTCAAAAAAGATACTAATGGGGTGAAGAAAAACAGAGAACCTCTGCCCTTTGTATTTTGCGCTTTGCGTTTTTCTTCTTTTTAGTTTCCCAGTTATCAATGGTGGCTCTCAGCTTCACATACCTGAAAAATGCTTCTAAAAACTTCAAATATCACAAATACCCCATTGTGATGCTGCAGTTGATGAAAAGTTTGTAACTTTGAAAGAAAAATTGTGTTCCTTTTCGTTATTAGGCTAAAAAGATAACATTTTGCTCACTCAAGCACAATAAAAAACTTGCGACTTGTACCGTTCTCCAATCTTTGCAATCTCTTCTTTTTCCCAATCATCCGCTCGATAGTCTCTGAGTCCCGATTTTACTGCAGTTAAATCCACAGAATTCGTCTTTGGCATGATTGTCTCAGGCTTCTTCTTGCTGTCAGCTCTAAATGTGGGCCCCACTTCAGAATTTTCGGGTTTTTCGCCTATAATAGTCTCGTCGTTATCTGCAAAGCTTATTCTCTTCTTGAAAGAGGGTTCTTTTTCGGGTGTCTTTTTGTTAGTCGAGCTTGTTTGGTTTGGATTCTTGAAACTTGACCTTAAAGTTTCATCTGATGCATAAATAAAATGATTCTATTAATAGTACCAAAAAAAAAAAGTGCAGATTTTCACAAATGAAATATCATTACCTGCGGATTTTAGTGCACTTTTAAGTGGTTCGAGTGGAGTTATCGTGGCTTCGGCTTTGTCCTTCATCTTGCTCAAGGATTTGTTTGTTGCCTCTTTATTATTATCATTCGATTTCAAATCGTCGAGTGATTGAATTGCATAAGCTGCTGCAGCAACTGCAGCTTGATAATCGGCACCACTTAAGTCGTTATTATCCGAACTCGTCTGTCTAGAAAACTGTCTTCTGAGCCAGCTCTGGCTTCCTTTTCTCTCNACTAGATTTGAAGTATAGACAAATTTTATAGTAGTAATAAAATATTTGAAAAAAAAAAAAATCAACAGTTTTTCAAAATTGTTGATCCCTTTGAGATAAATTGCACGCGGGCTGTTTGTAAAAATACATGAAATGCAAGATAATTTTTCATAGAATAATTTTGTAATTAAGATGGACATTTTTTTTTAAGATTGTTTTTTTATTTTATTTTTTTTACCTTGTTTGCTTAATCAAGCTCTCCATCACTTGTGAGAAACAAATATATTTTTTTGAGAGACAAAAGAGTATGTTTCTCTCTCCATGAGTTTTTGGTGATTATTTGAAAGATCTCTTCGTCAAAAGAAGGAGAAAGCTTGGGGAGGATTATGTTTGTGGAGGCAAGCAAACATTGGAATATGCTTTGCATGCATAATATGTATTTGCATCTTTTGGAAACCATGAATGTCAAGTATACTTTTCTTCATCTTGATGGTCACTTTCTTTTTTTTCTTTATATGAATTCTCTTGATACTTGTAAAAGTAGTTTGTAAAAGTAATCCCGTAATATAAAATAACGAAAAAATGTTATGGTCCCATTACGGAACTTCGAGTGTTTTAACCGTGAAGTCATCTATCTTATACTAACTACATGTGTATCCAACGGTTAAAGCTCCTGAAAGGATGATTCCGTAACGAGACCGTAGTATTTCCCATAAATAACAGTCTCATTTAAATTAAATTAAATTAAATAAATGTATTCTCATTATTTCTAATATTTATCAAATTGACAGAACATATTTTAAACGGAACACTTTGACATCATATTGCTGGAAGAACTGAAGGTCAACTGAAATGAAAGCTGGATAAGGCAATAAAATATGTCCAAGTATACCAGAAATCGAAGAAAAATCAACTCCAAGGAACCAACATCAATTTTAGCATAACTGATGAACAAAAGAGTACATGATATAATAACACAGGCAACCAATAACTATAAGGTAATACTTCAAAATGATGTTAATCTATTTACAATTCAGCCAAACAAAGAGGCTCAATAAAACCTCAATGATCTTCTTGTTGGAAGCTACATTACATGAATCTTGTGGCATCAATTTTTTTAAATATATTTGGATGAGTTCGTACGAGTGAGAATTCAGATGATAATATAAATCAATTCTGGTCAAAACTTGAGATGAATCGTAATTCATTTGCCTAAAACAGGAACTCTGAATCAGCAAGTTCCAGGACTTTGTGGTCACCAATAGGTTTCACGCCTGGCCTGAACGAATTTCCTTCAATGTACCTGTGCGAATCAATAAATCGTAAACCAAAAACTTTATTGGCCGAAAATGCCCAAAGAAAAAAGAAATTCAAAGTGAAACTCACATTTCCTTCAGGAAAAAAAGAAGGAAAGGTAAAATAAAAATTCAAAGTGAAACTTACATTTCTTTTATAAATGGGTGCTTGTAGAAGGTATCAGGAATTCTCCCAGAAAATTGGTTGTGATCCAAGTACCTGAATAAGAGAAAAGAAAACAAGCAAATAAATGACTAGAGTCACATACCAAAGAACTCTGTTATTGATTCGAACACTTGAGCCAGAGTCCAATCGAAGATGACACAAACTAGTGATCCTGTGTTAATTTGATCCATTTTTCTCAAAAGTGTTTTGAATAAGAATATGCAGGGTAAACAAGAAAAAGTTTACTGATGCGGCAGCTTTTTACAATATTTACCATTGTCGGGCTTCTTATAATAAATGCGCGTAGATCACTAGATTGGGCACTTGATTTCTAAAGATAGACAAGTTAATGCAGGGATATTTCATGGGGTCTTATAATTTATAAACATATCCAATATAGAATAAGTTAATATATGTACAATATGAATTATGTATACTTACAAGTAGGTCAATCGAGGAATATGAGCCAGCCCAAATGGTATAACTCCAGACATTTTGTTATAAGAAAGATATCTGGAACCAACACAAGCAACATGCAAATTAACGAATTACAAAGGGATTGGAATATGAAGTCGCAAAAACAACCATTTATTCACTTTTTAAATACAGAAACCCACAAGATTTCCAAGTTCGTTAAATTGGCAAGCTGTGATGGAACGCCTCCAGTGAGGTAGTTGTTATTAAGATACCTGCAATATTGTAACATTTAAGATCCTCAATTACTGTCTTATTAATGAAATTAGCAATAGCAAACAAATCATACAAATTACGAAGAGCTGGGAAGCATCCTTCAATACGAATTAGTTCCCTTATGGTCCCAACCAAGTGATTGTTGCCAACATCCCTGTAAAAAAAAAAATCGATTAAGATGACCATTAGAAAGACACAGGTAACCCATTATAACATAATCTTACAAGTGCCGTAGATTTGTCAACATTCCCAGTTCAGGTGGAATTCTCCCAGTCAAACGATTTTCATGTAGTTGAAGATAACGAAGTTCAGGAAGATATGCAAGCTCCTTGGGAATTTCACCCTTGAAATTATTAAAACTCAGGTAGCTGCAGAATTGCAACACGAATGTCAATGAAATAAAAGAAACTGAGACAGTGACAGCTCCAGAGTATCTGAAATCATTAATATCACCCACAGATGCGTTAGCTGCTTTAGTTCACCAATTTCAGGAGGAATGGAATCTTGGAATTTGTTCCACCTCAAATTACTATTAAAACAACAAAGACACAAAAGGGAAAAAGTATCAGTAACAGGCTCTACGGAGACTGGAGAAAGACAAGATTGAGATAGAAAGAAAACCTTGAAATACAAAACGCAATATGGCGGTTTCAAATTTAAATGGAAATCGGTGAAGTAAGTGGTTCCAAAAAAGAATAAGAATCTTCCAGACAAGCCAAAAACAAATGTGAGCAATGCTCCTCAAGACAAATATGCATTCAATTCCGAGAATACTGATCAATCAAATAATTGCATACACCACTATATGGCTATACCCCCAACATAAATAGTTTGTTAACAAAAAATCAAACTAAGAGAATCCCTGTGGTGCTGGAGGTAACCAGACAAATAATATTTTTTTTCGCTCGTAGCTTGCATATGCTTCCCTGAGATTCCTGAGACTAATTTAACCCAACTAGGTATATGACGGTGAAGGGCAAAAATGCATCCAACAATCCTTACACATTTAGCTAGAGTAATCATAGACAAAGGTTGCTCATTGGAACAAGAAAGGACATGACTTTACAGTATCTTAAGATGCTTTAGTCGTCCAATTTGCGACGGAATTGGTCCAGTCAATTTGTTATTATGTAGGTCCCTGCAAAAATCAATAGCATCAAAGATTTTGGAAATGCAAAATGAAAGAATGCTAGCAAAACAACAGTTTATGTTCCAGATAAAATACAAAGAATTGCTTGATAACACTAAAATAAGATAAAGAAAAACATACAGCCTCGTAAGGTCCACCAGATTAGTAACTGCAAGCGGAAAAGGACCAACAATCGAAACTGCATATACTTCTCTGCAAGGTAATTGCTTAATAAATAACTAAAGAGAAATAACAAAGAAGGTAGTCTGATAATCCACTATGCATTTAATGAAACGAAAGCCTAAAAGAGACTGAAAGACATGGAACTCACAGTTCTGTAACAACTCTATAATCACTCCCACTCACAGTGGAACACGTGACACCTGACCAAGGAGGCAAATCACCATCTCCACAAGGATCATCTCCAACCCAAGCGTACACTACTCTCCATCCAAGTGACGCCTTAATTTCATTTAATGCCTTCACTGTATATTAGCCAAAACAACAAACCCATATAAAATGGAAACTTCAGTAAGTATGAATATCTAATCAAATTACAGCTTCTTCCTATTCTCACGTGAATTAAGTTATACCCACAATACATAGTCATTTAAACTGTAACACAGATTCTTGGATAAAAGAATTAGCCATTAAATGACGGATCTCAAAGACAGGTGGTAAATTGTGATAAAGATGCCAAACAATATAACTAGCCATTCAAAGCTATGTTTCAACTATGTACTTCAGTATAATCTTGCATTGTTCCCTAATGGCCTAATCAGAGATTCAAAATCTTGTTTGGCAGCCCAAAGCTACATACTTCTTTTTTTTTTTTCTTTCTTTTTTGGACAAGATACGGATCTGATGCAACTCCCCTCTCAACAAACAATGCGATGCCATTTTCACTCAAAGTTAGAACCTACTCATCACTCGAAACTTCCTTTTCAGCTAAAATCAAACCGAATGCCGTACAGATACACACATACAAGTCCTCGAAAGCAACCCAAAATAATAGATCACTGGAAAAGCTCATTCAAACCAACGATTTATCACCAGACCAAATTTTCGTCTAAATTAAGATGAAATATATAACGAAAACTAGCTCCTCACAGCATCAACCGAACATTTAACTGCGACAAAATAGGAAAAACTGATGGATCGGGAAAATCACCGTCTCGCTTAAGCGTCTTGCATAGGACTACGTCGTTGAGGACCATGGTAACTACGAGAAAAAGATTGAAAACTGAAGAAAGAGAACGGAGATGAGTAGCCATTGACAAATTTAGGGATTTTCCTGGACGGCAGAGATGGAGATCACATTTAGTGTTGCACTGTGTGGAGTGTGTGCAAAATGAGAAATGATGTGATGAAAACAATCAAGGAGTTGGGGACGACGCGTGAAATCTATCGATCTCGTCGGTGCCTCCTTTTCTTTTTTTCCTTTTATCTTTATTACTTATTCATTTTAGTTTAAGGTTGATAGCTAATGAGTTAGCTTGTAACTTATAAGTTATTTTTAAAACTAATAAGTTAGGTGATAAGTGATAACTGATAAGTTAGCTTATATATTGTAAGTTGTTTTTAAACTTATAACTTATAACTTATAGCTGAAAAAGTTAGTTTATATGATAAAATTGTTTAGTAAAATTAGTTGATAAGCTAACTTGTTAGTCACCGACTTAGTCAGCCGAATCAAGAAACACCTCTCTATCTAATTAGGGACTTGGTCTCACTGACACTACTAGCATTTTGGTAAGCTGCTTCAGAGATCTAGATTCCAACACCGCTAATGAGAGTTTCACCTTCCTGCCCCGAATCGGAACTCAAATCCGATTAAAAGATTTTTTTTCCGTTGGTCCAAACGAAGCGAAGCGGGGAAATCAAACTAGCCAAGGGGGAAAATCGCCATTCCCGATGACCTAGGCACCGTCTGACCTCTGTAAGTTACCTGGGGTGCTGGAAATTCGACCAAAAGCCACGAACCAAGTTGAGAGTGAGGATTTGGTGTTGTTTTAAACTTCCAGGTATCACACGGGTCGTATGACATCCCACACGACATGTTGATATAGCAGTCAACCATCAAGAAGGTTAATCTCAGATGCTCAAACAAGTATCGGAGGGGGCTAGAGGGAATAATCGACTTGGCAAAAAGTTTGGCATGAAACTCAGTAGGCCGACCTCATCAACAGGACGAAGACCGACTTCCATGAAGGATCATAAGATTGACCTCAATTTGAGGCTGGTGTAACGCCCCGAACATTTTTAGTATATATGAGCTCAATTTTAGTTCCATAAATAACAAGTTTATTTATTTCAAGTTATATTTATATTTATAGCATTTAAATTTATTAATAAATTCTAAGTCTAAGCCATGGAGGATCCATTCGATTTTTAGTTCCGAAATCGAATTTATCTACCCTAAGTACCGGTTCATTTTTTCTTATTTGGCCATTTTTCTCCCGAATCGAGCGTTAGAAAAATCGAGAAAAATATTAAGAATGGGCCGAAGCCCGGTCGAGCCGAGAGCCCAAGTCAAGCTGCGCATAGCGCCTCGGCCGAAGGCCGAGCCTAGCCACACGGTCCTAGGCTAACGCTTGCGACCTCTAGCACGGCCCATGAGGCCTAGGCCAATCCGAGCCCAAGTAATTTCCGTGGCCCACTCGGTTAACTAGCATAAATGAGGCCCAACTCTAGCATAAATGAGCCCAATTTCCTTATTCAAGTTGAAGTGGTCTATCAAGTAACATTAGAGTTTTGACTAGTTAAAGTGTGACACATATTTTAAAATGGACGAGGTGAGCACTTAATTTAAATTTAAACTATTAATTTGTCATGAATAAAATAAAATATAAATAATAAAATTATTTTTAAATTAATCGATACTTGCTCACCGATTTATTTATATATTCAATTATTGATGTTTATGATGTACCAATTATTTTTAAATATTTTATGCACATAATTTTTAACGGTTAGAAATATTTGTGCATAATAATTTGTTCAAAAATGTGTACATAAAACGACTCATTTGTATATTTTGTTTTTATGGATCCACTCATATATGCACACCTTTACATACATGTTATTATTCATCTATACTTATATAATAAGCCATTCTATTTACTAAATTTAGTGGAAAGAAAAATCAAAGGACAATTAATGCATTCTATTTTTATCATTTTTCTAATTGTATTATTATTTTATTGCTAAAAAATCAGTCTGCATTAATTCTATCCTTAATTGATGTGTTTTGCAATTAAATCGGACAGATAGACTCCAAGTAAAAACATGTGTCATTTCAAATTTAAGTTTAAATCTTAAAATTTCTTATTATTTTGTTACATTAAAATCATAAATGAAATGTTTGCCATAAAATCGGACAAAATAATAATTGCATAAAATTCAAGTAAAAACATATCTCATTAAAAATTTAAATTTTAAAATTCCTTATCATTTTGTTACATTTTCGAATGATTTGTTTCCCATAACATCGAATGGAATTAATAACTGCATAGAATTTATATCGAGGATGTTTAATAATTGCATAGAATTTCAAAGATGTTTATTTATTATAAAAAAAAAAATTCTAGAAAAATATTTGTGTATATTTTGTAAAATATTTGTACAAAATATTTTACTTTATATTTATTTACATAATGTAAATTAGTTACATTAATAAATAATATTCACATACATTAAATATTTTAATTACATAAAACAAAAAGAAGAAGAAGACTACATCTATAACTTGTATAAATGATAATAATGACATTATATTACAACAAATTTTATAATAAAATAATATGAGTATTATACGAGAAACAAGATTACGTAAAATTGTTATTTTTTCTTATATCAAGGAATAAATATATATAATGAAATCAAATTTATATTATTATAAACATGTGAGCGAGATAATATATTAATTAATTTACGGGTTAGATATTCAAACTCTATTATTTTTTAGGCTTGAACTGACAAGCCCTATTTTCCACTCATTTAATATCTCCCGTGAATCGCACGAGCTACTTAACGGACAAGCTCTGTGAAAATTACTCATTTAATATTTATATCCCGTGCATCGCACAGGCTATGTACTAGTTTATCTGTAGAATTACTCAATCCCTATCATTTTTCAATTATGGAAACAAAAATGAGTAGATTAATGCCACTTGGCTTGACTTTAATGCAACCAATTTAGTCATGGGATATCCATGGCGGTTCACTCAATCAATAGTTTAAAACATTGACTTCTTCTATTTTCTTTTATATCTTAAATTTAAACACCAAACAATTTTCTAGTGGATTACATCAATGCTGGTATCCAGACTAATATTGAGCATGCATGTCACAAAGTTTAATCATGTTTACACACTTTAGATATTAGAATGCCCAACACATCAATGCTTGAGTATCTACATTACTTAAGTTGCAATATTCGCGATAGATTAAGATAATAAAATATCTGTTCACACCCTTTAATTTACTCTAGATTTGAAATTATATATATATATATATATATCTTCAATTATTTCCATGTTAGTGACATTAATTGGATGCGTGATAAATCATAAATTTGAACTAATATATGCATGCATCAATTACACAATGTTTTTATGCATGACTTTAGTAACTGAAAAGACGCTTTTGTCCCCTTTAATGTGACCAAGTCATTCAATTCGGCATCATCCCAAACAGTCCCAAAACAAAATTGATGACATTCATGGGATTTTCTTGAATCCCCAAACTTTCGAAAATCCAAACTCCTACTTAACATAAATTCTCTTGTTTTTAAGCAACTTATCAAATGTCATGCATGTTTTATAGTATTGTTTATTAAAGTTTGACATTTAAAAAAATGTATTATACCGACGTAATAGTAAGGCAACGTAGCAAAAAAATACTGAAAATTAAAATAACAAAACACAGTAGTTGAAGTATTTGAAACGAAATCATTAAGGCGCAAAGTTTTACACCATGAATTAGTACATAGATCAAATATAATTATATGCTCCTGAAAACTAAAAACTAATGAAATACAACAAAGTACAAACAAGATTTGACTATTTCCACTACCATTTTAGCTGCTTCCACACCACGCAGCAACCCCAAATTTCTGCTGAATAATAATCGAATTTCACCCTTCAATCTTTCTAAAGAATAAAGATAAAAGAAAAAAAGAGAAAGTAAACGCCATATGATCAAGATTATTGCAAAATCTAATATTTTTTCATAAAAAAAAAGAAAATAATAATAAAAAAAGTTATTTACGAAATTAGGTAAGGCGAGGAGAAAATTCAGTTGTGAAGGGGGTTAGGGCCGGAGGGCACCAATCTTTTCTGGACGCCGTATCTTGGGTCGATCTCGTCGTCCGGCGGCGTCGGAGGCGGCGGCGTTAGCGGGATGCATAGGCGGCGGAGCTGTGAAGGGTAATTGGCCGGCGGGGGCAGTTGGCCGGAGATGGGGCGGCAGAAAGGGCTGCGCCGCCACACGCGCGGCTGCATGGTGGTGTGGTGGGGTTGGGAAATGGAGGGTACGGCGAGGAGAAGGAGAAGAAAAGCCATGGCGAGAAGGAAAAGGAGATGAATGCTTACAGAATTTCTCACCGCCATGTTTTTTTTTAGAGAGAGAAAGTGAAAGAGTTGTTTGATGTTGTTGGGGATGACAGAGATATACGCGTATTATATATGGATTGGAAGCAGACAAATAATAATAATATAATGTTAAAAATAATAATATTTAAGATGCAATTACGTGCTAATTAACAGCTATCGTACTAAACAAATTAACTAATTTTGTTGGCCTCATTCGTCTATATAGTCGAATTAAGATACTTTCAACAAGAAAATCTTGGTTAAATTCTTCTTTTGGATAAATTCGGTGATGATAGTAAAATTGTCAAGCTGAGTATATTGTAATCCCAATAATAAGAATTTACATGTCATTGTTTTGTGGGTCGTGTTCGAATGATATCGCTAAAGAACATATATAAAATTGCATATTTTTTTTTTTTCATAATTTGATGTATTTATATTGTAGAGAATAATTCTAAATAATTATTTGTTAAATTTAAAAAATAGAGCTATCAGTTATTTTGTTTTTTCAATATATCACATCAAACAATAGACATATAGTAACAAGCCGGAATTGGCTTCAATTATTATAATTTAAAAAATAAAATTAAGTAAGAAGCAACCATAATTCCAATTAAACTAGTAATATTTAGAGATGACCTATTTCATTTTAGTCAACTGTTGTATGGGGTATTGGGGTTATCTATTTTAAAAACATCGTTGAATATGAGCAAACATATTAATCTAAATATCATGGATGGAATTGCACGAATAATATTTGNNCTTAATAGATCTTTTCTTGTCACTATATCAGGCTATTACTTTGTGCAGCAAATCGCAACGATGTTGATTAATTAATCTATTATAACGATGTGCTACAAACTATTTCCATAATGAAATTTTGATCTCCCACGAAGTTGATTATACATTGTAAGCCATAAAATGAATTCCAATGCAATCGCTCAGTAAAAAATTTAAAACTAGTATCATAGGTGACATTTTTTGGCCTAGCGGAATAGTAAAAATCAAAATAGTCACACATCTTTCAAAAATTAATCAAAAGGCCTACGTGACGCAAAGGTGACGATAATCATCACGCGTTACATGACACTGTATCTGTGAGACTAGTTTTAATTTTTTTTTTTATTGTTATGCTCTTCATTTGTTATATAAATTATTATATGTATATTAATAAATATAAATATATTAATAAGTAAATCTAAGACAAGATTATGAATATATAAAACTATTTGTTATAACTATTTATAAAACATTTCAATTATGAATGAGAAATATACATTAAAATAAAATTAGGAAATATTTTTAGTTACTTTTATTTGTGATGTGTATCTCTGATGCTACTGATAAGAGGCAGTTAACTGGCTTGAAGTTATCAAGAAAGGGTCATGCTATCTCTCTCTTGCTATTTGCAGACGACTCATTATTCTTCAGTAAAGGAGGTGTTGATCAGGCCATGGTGTTGCTAAATATACTGGAAAGATTCAGATTAATCACAAGTCAAAAAGTAATTAGGGAGAAATCAACTATCTTCTTTAGCAGAAGTACCCCAGCACACCTTCAATCGAGTATTTGTGGGGTTTTACAGACGGTCAAGATTCATAAGACTATCCTTATCCCCAACCCAACATAACAATTAAAAATCATTTCTCTCTCCTCCACCTACATAACTCAACCTTACAACTTACTTTATCTTTATCCCCAACCCAACTCAACCTAAATATTTATTTTATTTTAATTAAATTAAAATTTTCAATTTTATTCCAAAATATATCAAGCGTGCTCTCTATTTGTAGAGAATTAAAAAATATAAATTTTTTAGTAATTTTTTATTTTATTGTTTTAATTAAAAAATCACATTTATCCAATAAAAATTGGGACAAATCACATAAGGAAGGTTGCGACCCAAGGTCACATTGTGACCTGGGTCGCTGAAATTAGGCTCCATTCTTTTTTTTTTCTTTTTTTTTTTTTTTTTTAATGTCGTGACCCATCCATGGGGTCACGAATAAAAATGGTCTAAATAGACTAGATACTTGGGATCCCTCTTGGCGTTGGAGATCAACGAAAGAAGTATTTACCTTCATTTTGGCGACGGTGAGATCCAATTTGCAAAGCTGGAAGAATAAATGGTTGTCATCAGTGGGTAAGGAGGTTCCTATAAAAGCCATTCTTAATATAATTCTCTTCCAGTTTTTGCATGTCCTGCTTCAAATTACCAATCTCTCTGTGCAAAGAAATATCTACTCTGTGTGCTCAGTTTTGGTGGAGTAAGGGAGATGACCAACAAAAGGGTATTCACGGGAAAGCATGGAGTTTGGTGACCTTACCTAAATGCAAAGGAGGTCTTGGTTTTTAGGACGTTCGGGAATTCAATGAAGCTTGATATGCAAACAACTCTTGAGAATCACTACCCAACTTGAGCTTATGGTCAGTAGAATTCTGAAAAGTAAGTATTTCCTTAATTCCTCTATATTAGAAGTTGAAACGAAACATAATGCATCTTGGCTCTTGCAAAGTTGGCTAGACATTATTCCTCTCCTTGCCAAGGGGGTGAGCGTGGAAATTAGAAATGGGTTGTCAACCAAAATTCAGGACTTCAATTGGGTGCCTAATTTATCTAAAGAAAAATCGGAACTGTTGGAGATTGCTAGAGGTCTTTGTGTGAAGGATTTGATGACAGACACTATGGCTAATTAGAATGATTGGATAATAAAGCATGTCTTTAATGAGATGGATAGTAAAACAATATTGCAGATAAAAACTCTTAACCCCAACCTAGCTGACAAGTGGAGATGGGGATTAGATAAGAAAGGCCAGTTCTCAGTCTCAGCATCTTATGCACATCTAATTGAACAGAAAGTTCAAGGCTTGGATTTACTTGAAGGGAGCATTACTAGTAAACTGGATCATTTTGCCAGAATCAGAAGCTGGAATTTGAAAGTTAAAGAGAAATTGATGCATTTTATTTGGAAATGCTTCACTGGCGCCCTTCCAGTGAAACTGAACCTAAGAAAAAGAGGAGTAGAGATGGATATCATTTGTCAGAGCTGTGGGGAACACACAAAAACTATTGAACATGTGTTTTTTCATTGTGACTGAGCCAGAATGAAGTGGGAAACTAGACCATTAAACGGAAATAGAATCAACACTGAAGATCGCTCTTTTAAGTCCTGGTGGTGGCAAATGTGCTCAATTGACAAATCAGAGGAGTCTAAAGCAATGATACAATTAACTACATATCTTTTGTGGTGGCTTTGGAAATATCAGAATTTATGGCTCTTTCAAAAGTAGAAGATCCCGTGGTAATCAAATGTGCAGTGAGGGAGTGAAAGGAGTTTAATGCTGTGTGTTTATAATTCGTTTCCTGTTTATTTGGTTGTTCTTCCTTTTTAGCCTTTGGTTTAGGCTTGTGGTTTAGACTGTTGGTGGTTTGGTTGTTGTTTTCTCCTTAGTTTTGTTTGTGTTCGAACAATGGCTATGAATTCCTTAGTTTGGTTGGTGTTGTGAGTTTAGTTCATTGTAGACTAAGGGCTCAGATGTTTTTGCCTTAGCTACAGCTGTAGATATGTCTAGAACGCCTTTGGCACGCTCTNAAAAACGACCGACAAATGACATACAAAAGTGCAATGGGCAACCATAAGCTTGGCTCCTGACTCACATATAATAAGTCTAAGAGCGGAACAATAGGTCGGTTGCTCACTCAGGTCCCAAAATAAGACAGAAAGACAACCGTCAAGTTTTCTAAGAAAGAGACAAGCCTATACTCTAAGGGCTTTCCTCTCATATTCGGCAAGCATATTCAGATACAACACAAAAATTCTACGATAAATATGAGTTTGGATCTTACGGATTACTAGACTCGGGGGTTCGGATTCATTTTCAAAAATCAACTTATTTCTCGCATTCTAAATGAAGTACACGGTAGCCGCGAGCGCCGTTTTTTTCAACTTGATTTGTCAACTAGCCTCTCGTGCTTCCTTCTTGGTCCATTGAAAAACTCCTTTGAGTATCAAAAGCCTACTATGGAGAATAACTCAATCGCGAATTACCCCTCAAATGTATGAGCTAAAGGAGCAAATTTCTTTTTAATTCTTGAGTTTAGGGAGTTTCTTCGTTGTATTCAGTCTTTGTTCTTTGTTAATATATTTCTCCTATAGTTCTGAAAAAAGAAAAAACGTTGATCGATCATTCATTATTTGCACAGTATCAACCTCCATAACTTTATTAATTAATATTATCCTGGTCGCCGAAAACAATGAAAATTGAAAATAAACAATTGTCAACAAGCGGCCCCTTTTGAAAAGATATAGCTTCCAGAGCTGTTTTTCCACGCAATGGCGATTGACCACCATAAATCCCCAAAACACAATCCATATTAGGAAGATTCACACTTCCAATCCCCCCACAAATTTATCATCAACAGCCAAGAAATCATGATCCCATTGAAGGTAATTCCTGTTCTAGCAACAATTTTCCATTTCCTCGTCCGATCCTTGTCCGCATCGCCGGTCGCCATTACTGTGAGCTCGAGATCCATTCCCAAATCCAGCGACCCGATCACGATCCGATGGTCCGGCATTGACTCCCCGTCGAAGCTTGATTGGCTTGGCATCTACTCACCTTCGAACTCCTCGCACGCAGACTTCATCGGCTACATCTTCCTCTCGTCCTCGCCCGGATGGCCGTCCGGGTCGGGCTCCATTACGCTCCCGTTGATCAACCTGAGATCCGATTACCAGTTCCGGATCTTCCACTGGACGGAGTCGGAAATCAACCCGAAAAAGCAGGACCACGATCACAACCCTCTGCCGGGGACCAAGCATCTCCTGGCAAAATCGGAAACGATCCGATTCGAACCAGGCCGTGGGCCCGAGCAGATTCATCTGGCGTTGACGGGCCGGGATGGGGAGATGCGGGTCATGTTCGTGACGCACGACGGGAAAGATAATTCCGTGAGGTACGGCTTGGCCCGGGATAAACTGATTCAGGTCGTGAATACCCGGGTATCGAGGTACGAGAGGGAAGATATGTGCGATGCGCCGGCCAATGAGAGCGTGGGGTGGAGGGACCCTGGGTTTATCCATGATGGTGTGATGTTGGATTTGAAGGAAGGAAAGAGGTACTATTATCAGGTAATAATTATCCCTCTCATTCAAATTTTAAGGCTAATTATGAAAGATAAGTCTAATTAATGGAAAGATTCAGTTCTGTTTCATAGTTCAATCACTGAAACAGAGGTTATTTGTTAGTAAATGCATCTCAGTTAAGAGTTGTGATTGTGAAAGTTAACTGTAGTTTTACAGTAATTGAGCTGAACTTCAAGGTAATCTGTAATTATGCCAAGTTCTGTAATATTTTGCAAGTTGACATGGAAATGGCTTTGGGATAAGTTTCCCTTGATTTCTGGGAATAAATATGGGATCTAATATTAGGGCGTCATTGAATAAATTCAGTACATTTATAATTTATTCAGATGCCAGCATTTCAGTTGTTACTTTTTATGCACCACTTTTATTCAAATGCCACCACTTATGATTAAGGCCCACAAATTAGAGAGAAGATAATGAATGTTACCCTCCATTGTTGCTCTGTCCTTCTAAAAACAGTCCTCCAGCTTCTTAAAAAAGTCCCTTGTTACATGTCGATCCACGACACCTAACTACTCAAGTCTTATGTCAACATATACACATGGCAGGTCGGTAGTGATTCCGGTGGCTGGAGCTCCACACACACCTTCATATCCCCAATCAAGGACTCAACCGAGACAATAGCCTTCCTATTCGGCGACATGGGCACCGCCACACCCTACTCGACCTTCGTCCGCACACAAGAAGAAAGCATCTCGACCATCAAGTGGATAAACCGCGACATCGACGCCATCGGCGACAAGCCCGCTTTAATCTCACACGTAGGTGACATAAGCTACGCCCGCGGCTATTCCTGGCTTTGGGACAACTTCTTCAACCAAATCGAACCCGTCGCCTCCCGAGCCCCTTACCACGTCTGCATCGGCAATCACGAATACGACTGGCCGTCTCAGCCTTGGAAGCCCGAATGGTCATACTCGGTTTACGGCAAAGACGGCGGCGGCGAGTGTGGGGTCCCTTACAGCCTCCGCTTCCTCATGCCCGGAAACTCATCCGAGCCCACGGGCACGCGGGCCCCGCCAACCCGAAACCTCTACTACTCGTTTGATTTTGGAGTGGTGCATTTCGTTTACTTGTCGACCGAGACTAATTTCCTTCCTGGGAGCAAACAATACGAATTCTTGAAAAACGACTTGGAGTCGGTTAATCGGGTCAAAACTCCTTACGTGGTCGTGCAGGGTCACCGGCCCATGTACACGACGAGCCGCGAGACGAGGGATAAGCCCTTTAACGAGAGGCTGCTCGAGAAAATTGAGCCTCTTCTCGTGAGAAACAACGTGACTCTCGCGCTGTGGGGCCACGTGCACAGGTACGAACGTTTCTGCCCGATGAGGAATTTTACGTGCGGAGAATCGGGCCCGGTGCATATGGTGATCGGGATGGCGGGCCAGGACTGGCAGCCCGTTTGGGAGCCGAGGCCCGATCACCCGAACGACCCGATTTTCCCGCAGCCCGTGAGGTCGATGTATCGTGGGGGGGAGTTTGGGTACGTGAGGCTGTTTGCGGATAGGGAGAAGCTCACGGTGTCGTATGTGGGGAATCATGATGGGGAGGTGCATGATGTTGTGGAGATATTGGGTTCGGGCCGGGTTTTTGACGGGCGGGCTGGTGGTGGTGGTAATGGTGGTGGTGGTGCTGTTGCAAGACGTGAGTGGGGCCCGCCCGCAGCGTCGTGGTATGTTATGGTGGGGAGCGTATTGGTTTTGGGGGGTTTTGTGGGTTATGTTTTGGGGTTTGTCTCGCGTGCGGTGAGGGAAGGTGGGTTCGGGATGAGGTGGACGGCTGTGAAAAATGAGGAGGCGTGAATTCTTGAGAATGTATCAATGTAAGCATTCTTAT